ACGTCAAAAATCTTTAAAGGTGATATTCTTGATCAGCTCGACGTGCTCTATCCAACCATGTATAATTCGACCAGATTCATTTTATCACTAACCTTTTGAATTTCCGGCACCTTACGTAAAATCAATAGAAAATACTCTTTTATTTCCGAAGATTTCTGGAAAACCTCTCTCGAAACCAAAGTATTCTCTGTTGGTTTTTCAATATTCATTGACCTATGCGATATGCTCTAGATAAAATAGAGTATTTCCTGCCATTCTGAAGTAGGTTGAAAGGATTTTGACAGAGTTATGAATTTTTTAATTTTTGATGAAATAATCAAAAGTGGGTTATTTCACCTAGTATACGTTTATACTCGGTTGTTGTATTTTGTTCGAAACACTAATGCCTTATTTTTTTTCCGATGATAGGAGCTTATTCGGAGATTGGGTTACTGGAATACGTGTATACTTTTTCCATTTACATATCGATAAAACATTTTTCAATAATTTTCGATGGAGAAATTCCGGAATATATATGAGTTAATTGAGAATAGTATATATTTTTCATCTCGTTTTTGCTAATTTCCGTATCTACTAATAAAAAAAGTAATTTTTAATTAACAACAATAATACCTTCAATGAAGCCAATCCGCTTTATTGTTCTCCAGCTACTGTTTCATACAAAATGCATGAATCATCAGCTGATGGTGTTTCAGAATATTTTTTCGATGTGAACATTGTATTTGTTCAATATGCACAACGTTTATAAGCAACCAATGTTGTATTCGTGTACAATGTAATAATGGTATTCATTTTAATGTCGTTATTTTAATGATTGTTTTACTACTAGAATATCACCACCCTCAGCCGATATCACTAAATGTTCTAGGTGCTTTACGATGGGCTGAGTATAATGAATCAACAACTTGATAAAATTGTCACAGAACATCAAATAATCAAACGACAAAATTCCAATCATTGCAATGATTGTGCCAAAAAAGCTTCATGGATGGTATCAATCTTGCAGAGTATATATGTGTAACAAAATGTTTTGAACAGCTCAGATACTTCCTACCTCTTCAGGTGATCACCGCAAAAAAAGCGACACTATTATGTTTCCTCTACCTTGATAATCCTTGTTATACCGCATATTGTTTCAAAATTGCACATGTACAAAAAATGTTACATTACATTGGATCGTATTATATGACTTTCCTGTCTACAATTTACTGGTTCGTTTCGTTTTTTTATTCTTTTCTTTTTCCTTGATACAGCAAAAAAACGTCATTGACTGCATGGTGTTTAATCGTATAACGAAAAAGAAATTACTATCGGTAAATAAAAAGAGAAGGATTAAATAGTAGTGCGCTTGAATAAAAACAAGAAAAAGAGAGATAAACGTGGTCGTTCCGGATCAGACGATCGTTTTTTATTGTGAAGACTGGCTTTTACTCAATCAAAATTGGTGTGTATTTGAGATGAATTCCCAGCAAGTCAATGAGAGTGGACAGCCCACACGTTTTGTCACGACGAACTATCCAACAACAGTTGGTACACCATCTTCATCATCAAATACAGCATCACCGTTCGATGATAATATGAAAGAAGAGACTCCCTTGAAAGGCGATGCAACCGATGGTAGTCATATTCCTCGGTACATACCATCGTCTGTTGTCGTTTTGTTTCGTTCAACGATGTTTATCACATTCATTGTCATTATCTCAATTATACCCATTATTCAACTGATAATTGGCACTCATTATAAAGGACAATGTCCAATAAATCAACATATTCCAACTTATCTGTTTGTATCAGGTATATGTGGCATTATTTTAGTTCTCTGTTTTATTATGATGAGTCTTACATTCTTATGTTTTTCCGAAAACTCGACTGCACTCAGCATCGTAGCATCATGTGGTATATGTTTCAATGTATTGATATCCTCCCTATTAAGTACATTTTTATTTATCTGGTTCATTTTTGGCTGTATATGGGTATTTGGGGCCAAAAAACATGTTCAATATAATGATAAAGGTTCACCAACCTATTGTAATGTTACACTTTATCGATTTTCATTCTGGTTATTAATATTATCCATTATTCTCGTAATACTACCATGTATTGCCTGCTGCTGTTCACCTTGTTTTGTACTATGTCGAAAACCAAAGAAAGAAACGAATCCAGCTTAAATGATGAAACGCACGATCAACCGTAACCTGTACTTCTCCTAGGTTTTTTAGTAATACTTCGTGCATTGTGTGTCACCATCTTCTCGTTAACAAGCAGAGAGACCTATTACAAGTCTTTAACACTTAGACGTGATGTAGGTAAACTTAATTAATTGGTTATATCTGAATAGAAAGAGCTTCTTTTCGCTTCATAAATGACACACGCACTCCTATACTGAACCTTAAATCTGCTGTCACTATGCTCTTCAAACTTGTTTAACGTTTTTCTCAGAACATGATTGTAGCAGCACAACATTGTATCTCCTCCTAGACGATTCATCATAAAACCTTCATTTTTCTTTTATTTTGAAGCTAAGACATTTATCTATAGTTTGATCTGCAGTAACTTTTTAATTTCGTTTTCTATGCAGAGAAAACTGTCAAATACGCCTCCAAATTAGGGTTATTTTCACAGTTCTGAATTAAAATACGTGCAGGGAATGAACAAAATCGAAATTCAAAAATCGCTGTGGATTAAACTTTGGATTTCGGTGTTTACTTTCATTTGAGACCACTCGTAAGTTTCTGCACTTTCCAACAAAAAAGTCTTTACGTTTTTGCGGAGAACCTCATCTTGCCCCTTATCACGCAATAACTCTGCAGCACTTGAACGTTTCGATCTCGAATTTACAGTTAAATACCACCAAACTTTTGAGAATGGTTCTAGATAGTACATTGTGAGTAGTATCCATTGCAACTAGTCCGACTTCATTGTAGATAGAAACCTTGGAGAACTCTACGTCGCATAAAAGCGCGTCAGAACTCCGTTTCGCCATTATGGCAACATGATGGATGCAAGAGATACGCAATATTTAAATGTCATTATATAGTAGACATTGAGTACTGTATACCCTGAATAAATCGTGGTTCCATCTCTTATACGACTTGTCCAGCTAACGGCCTCCATGTTCCCTCTTTTTCGAAAAGTTATTGTAATAAAACTACAAACTAATTTAAAATGGCAATTAGATAATTAAGTAGATAAAACATTTCTCTACAAAATGAAAAGTGGCTCGGTTTTGAACGTTGATTCGTTATGAAAATACAGCTGTTGTACAAACAGCCTCAAAAATCGATTTCTGGGCTATCTGAAAAGCGTGTCTAAAAGAGTGAAGACGAGCTGGTAAACATTGAACAAGTATACCAGTTTGTAGAAACTTGTTTGCTCTACAAGATGTGACAGCTTGTCATGTTCGAAACTATTCTAATTAATCTGTATTAATCAAAGAAAACCGGTAACGCTGTGTCACTTCTGACCGTTTTTTGTCACAGCGTTACCGTTTTTCTGGTTTTTCTTTGATTAATATAAATTAATTAGAATCAGTTTCTAACTTGACAAGCTATCACATCAGAGACCGAAACGGGTCGTGTTCGGGCCAATGTAAATAATATTGGTTTGGGTCGGGTCGGGTTTCGGCTTTGGGTAAAAAATATTGATTCGGATCGGGTTAAAGGAAAAAAATTTTCGGTTTTGACGGGTCTTGCCACTTGAAAATAAATCACTGAATTTTCTTCGGTTACAGTTCACTCATCTATTTTTCAACATGTACTTTTTTTATCGGAAAAACAAGTAAACCCCATAATAGAAGATTACCTGGTCTTTTATTTTGTCCCGCAAGTCGAGTTCTAAAGGGTGGTCTTCTATTACAGTCAAATTTTGTCGCCTGCTGGTAGTCCAACGGTAACCTCCACGTGCTTAAAGTCTGTCCCCTATTAGAAGTACGTTTTGGCGAAACTTTTTTATTTTTTTAAACTCATATAAGCGGCAGTCCTCTTCTAATAGGGAATGGTCTTCGCATTATGGGGGGGGNNNCCCCCCCCCCCCCCCCCCCCCACCCCCCCCCCAAAACCCCACCCACCACCCCCCCCCCCCCCCCCCCCCCCCCCCCCCGCCCCCCCCCCCCCCCCCCCCACCCCCCCCCCCCCCCCCCCCCCCCCGAGCTTTCAGTGTTTCTTCCTTGCTGCTTTGACGCTGCGTACTGTACACTGTACATTGTACAGTATCGCACTGTTAAAGCAAAGAAAGAAAAAAGGAAACATAAGTAAACCCAGAAAAACGAACGCCTTAAATATGCGTTGCATTATGATGGTTAAACTTCATGACAATATAGGATCGAGAAAGATTTTCTGTTTCGGGTTATCACAATTCGAATGAACCACTTGGACAAAAAATCAGAGACACGTTCTAGGCTATTAATGTTTTTTTATGGCAAAATGTGTACAAGACAGATAAGACATCAATTCGTTAAACATCTTGAAAACACCTAAATTAAAAAAATTGTTAATAACGTGTCACTATCTTGCCAAGAAAATTCCAAGATTTAATCAAGATTCTTGATTAGTGCGACGGGCTCTGTTGATTCATACAACCGAAATTTTCTCATTTGTGTGTCTGCCGATAGACAACACTTACAAAGGGGTACTTCCACGCAGCTCCGCCCAGATTTACGTCGACTTTCAGCCGGCAATTTCTTACTATGCCAGTTTTATAGAGCTCGTCGAGTTGTATAAGAATTCATTTCTTTTTTCGGTTCCGAGTTTGCGCTTTGGCTGGAAACTGAGTCAAAAAGCGCGATTTTAAGCTAAAATCCCCTTCGGAAATACTATATTTTATTTTAACGAAACATGTTACAAAATTTTTGAAGTGGCCATTCGATAGAACTCTAAAAGTTGTCCATGTAGCGTAATTTTCAAAGTTTCAACATTTAAGCTGATCAGGTTGCAAATTTTATAAAATATGCCCCAAAACGGGTTTTCCATGCATTTTTATAATG